GAAAACTTCAGGAATAAAAAATAATAAGATAACTACACTCAAGAGTGCAGCAAATAGCCAAAAGATCTGGGTGTCAGAGTCAAATAGAGAGTGCAGCACTCAGCCCAAAATCACAACTAAAAAAGGCAGACATAAGCAATGCAGAGGACTATTGTGGCATTAAAAACGTAAGATTAACATGTTATGAAAGACAAGAAAACTTCAGGAATAAAAAATGCACCTGGTTCATAATTTGTGTGCAGTACTTGATGCAAGTTCCAAATAAACTTCCTAGTTGTCCTCTCAAATCAATGAATCGTTGCACGTAATCCATACTACAACTCAAAATTTATAAAACTTGCTGACGGAAGAATAGCAGATGGACACAAAAGAACATTCAAGCGGATATCCATGAAGAGGCTAGAATATTGATATTAAGAACAGGAAGAGGAATGAGGGTTAATCAAGAAGCCTGTACTTCTTTCATAGGGAAAACAAATAAACCATGCAAATGGCTCCAGTAAAATTAGAATCAATATTCCCAGTTGCATTCTACTTTCCTTGTCACAATACAACCAAAAAATTGAGTCCAATTTGGATTCCAGTATATAGCCAAAAAGGGTCTTATAGTCCCAGATCATTGAGCCATTCCCTGTGCACTAAACTGAGTTGCATCGAAAGAGAATAGCAAGAATAACTAGGTGCCCACAGGAAAGCTGCTGATCAACCCAAATCAAGGGAAATCCAGCTTAAAATGAAGACAGGAGAGTCAGTGAGAGAAGAGAAAGAGCCTCAATCCAATAGAATCTCTAATCATGCCATATTAACTGATCTAGGCTCAACTTGGTCAATTCAGATATACAACTAAAATAGGAAAGCAAATTAGATAGCCCACATTTGACCTCAACAAAGAGCCTAGATCAATTTCCTCAGCATGGAGAAAATCTCAAATACCATTAGATATTCTTCATGTAGCTCATGTAAAATCCTCAATATGGCTCCTCAGTACCTAGCATAAAGCCAGACAATGATCACCATTCAAAAGCACCCAACAACAGAGATGAATCCCAAAAGCATGTCTGTCTCATAAACAGCTAATAGCTGTTGCAACTCCAATGGGCAAAGAAATAGTTTTAGCTAGAATCTCAAGGTCTTCCTGGGACTTAACTAGGTCAACATTAGGAGGTATGAGATCAGGTTGATGAACACTGTTGTTCAATAATTGAAAACTCTAGAAAACTGAAGAACCTTTGATTCATTATCATAACTGCAGTTTAGGGTTATATCATTTTTAATGTCCACTAACCAAACCTCACTCATAAATTTTTCTCAGCTATAGTGATCTTTAAAAAGATGAGTTTTGGCTCATTGGTTTTGGAACTCAGTCCTCAGAATACACCTACCACTCAGTTCAGCCTTTTGTCTAGAGCAACAGGTTGACTGTGACATGCAATTTACTTGTCAACTTTAACCATAACATTCATCATTCTCCAGAAACAACTCCAAAAGCTATCCTCCCAAGCTAAACACTGAATGTGTCATGTAGAACGAACTCAGATATCAACTCTAATGTAGGACAAAATACATGGAAGGCTCTTGGAAAAAAGAAAATATTATTTTCCTAGGATTTGATAGTTATGGAATGGCGAAAAGAAGATATTAATTGAGGAAAAAAAATAAAAAGGATAACTATCATATTCCCTTAACTGATGAAATTATTAAATAAGAAATATGTTACAATGGTCTCACATCAAGGTGCCAACCAAGCTGACATTGAGATGATGCTAAGCTGACATTAGGCATATCATCATGCCAAGAACAAAGCCCCTGTCGATTAACATATATCCTAAGCCAATCCATGTCTATTAATGCATCTTGTGTCAATACACTATGATCATGGAGCATATCATAAATTGCCAACCCATACTTCTCTGATGTAAGCGCTCTACATATTTAATAATCTAGGTGTTACTACCAACCCAAGATATAAATAACAAAATTATGGGGTTGAACTATCCTAAACCAGCTAAATTTAAGTCTCTTTATTTGAATGCTTACCTAGCTAACTAAATGGGATAAATACTTGAATGCTCCTAATATGTTAATGGAGTAATTGAGAGAAGAAGTGTATTTCAAGTCAACCCTCTAGATGAAGTTTAACCAACACTCTTAAGATTAAATAACATTGATCAGATTGCTTCATGAATCTATGGAATTTGCCAAGTTAAACCTTTAACCATCAACTTTAAATGTACGAAGTATGCCATCCTAGTGAAACAAATAACCACAAAGACAATTCCAACAACTTTCATCTCTTAAAAGGTCATTGGTAATTCATAGTTCACAAGTACGGTATTAAGACTAAGATCACTAGGGATGATAAGAACGAGATCATTCAATTACTCAAACTTAGATCCAATTACACGGGGATCAACCAAGTGAATGATTTTTAAATAAAAATTATAAAAAATAGAAACACTAGGAAAATAAAAAATAATATTTGTGTAAAAAATATCTTATGTCAAACATTTCTTTTATATTTGTATTTTATATGACATATTACCTTTATAAATGAAACAGAAATGCAAAAATTAAAAAATTATAAAAAATTCCAACTCCGCTTCAAATTCAAAATCCAAGTCCAACTTGTAGCTTGCATTTCAGGACAACATGAGAATCCTCAAACTTTCTAATCTTTCCTTCAATATATGTATATATAAGATGAACTACAACTTATGAATATGTTAATAATCACAAAACCCTATGTTTGAAGACACTAAAGGCTGCATTAATGCCTATAAATAATTATCCGACCTGCAGGCGAAATTGGGCTTAAATATGATAATCTTTCAAATGTTCCTTAATCCATTAGATTAGATTAAGTTTAGCTTAGAATAAGTAATTGACCATCACTGATGTCCTAGTACTTCAAATAATATGAAGTGTAGCATGATCCATAAGCAAGTTGGAGCATAGGAAAAGTTAAACCTCAATCCAGTGAACTACTCAATTTCATCCAAGAAAAAATGTCCAACAAGAGATGAACAAATAACTACATCATAAAAGAACATAGTTCTACAAATTCCAAATGAGTGAAGAAATGTCTAAGGAGCACATGTACATGCTCACTATAATCATTGGTCAACATCGTGAAGAAAAAAGTAGGCACTAGTGTGATCTAATGAGTATAGGCAGCAAACCAATGAAAACTAATAAACAGATAGAAACATTTCTCTGTGTTGGTGGACAAAAAAAATGCAGCAAACCCTTATTAAAGCATGTAATAGCATAGAATTGCACCTAGTTTTAAGTGCCCTAAATGTTTAGGATTGAAGACTTTCTTGGTGAAATCCAATGCGAAGTGGCACATTAAGCCTCAAAAGGTCACTAATTTCTATATCGTTGGTCAAGAAAATACTAGTATAGGCATCAGAAGCGTCGCAATGGAGACTCCCAAGAATAGCCCTTTAAAATGGTAAAGATATTTTGGGGTGTAGAAAGCATCGGCATTACTAGAGACACCAATAAACGAATAGTTAACCAAGTGCACATGAATGGCTCAGCCTACAGCACAAGATATCATCAAAATCCAAATCCACAAAACCTCATCAGGATCAAAGATGAAGTGCAGAACACGACATGCGACGAAACCAATCGGCAAGACATTTTCAATAAGTGCCGGTTTCAACACAAGTCAATGAATTTGAAACTTCTAGTTGTGCATCCAAGCAAGTTTTTGGACGGATCGACATTATTCGTCCATCAGTTCCGAAGTCTATCTCCTGAAGGGAATTCAAAAAAACAAGAAAAAGAGTGTAACCAGATGAGGCACTAGAATGAAATTACAAGATTAGGCAATGAGAAAACCCCCGAGCTTCGCGTCAATCAAGATGCCATCGGATGTGCGGCGATGTACTCGACGGCGAGGGGGCAGGAAACGATCTGGTCGGCCTCCTTGTCGGGGATCTCCAGCTTAAACTCCTCCTCCAGAGCCATCACAATCTCCACATTGTCCAAGCTATCCAGCCCCAGATCCGTCTGGAAATGCACGTCCGGGTTCACCTGGCAGGCAAGCAATTGGAAGCACGGATGAAAGAGATCTAAACCAAGGAAAGCAACAAGTGGTAGCCTGCTAGGGTTACCTTGGCGGGATCGACCTTGGGAAAGCTCTTGACGACGTCGAGGACCCGATCGACCACCTCCTCACGGGTGAGATGGTCGTCGCCGTGGGACGACATCGATCGAATCGAGGTCTGAAGGCATGAGAGGGATCCCAACCGGTCTAGGGTTCGGATCGGGACGCGGACGTGACCAAGGATCGCCCCTCGCAGCGCGGATGCCATCGCTCGATTAGTCTTCCCTCCTCCCTCTTCCCTCTTCGATTCAGCGCCTTCGACGGAAATGGATGAGGGCGGCGCACAGGCTCAGCAGTAGAGGTGTAATACTGAGGAGAGACCACTGCGGTTTTTACCCCTCGTTTTGCTCGGTTCAGGGAGACTATTATGCGGATGGGATGAAGGCAATGTGAATGGACGGACGAGTTTAATTATCAAGGACAATGCATTTTAACTCGTAAGTCTTAAATTAAAATATTATTTTACTTTAAAATGCCAAAGCATATATATATATATATATATATATATATATATATATATATATATATATATATATATATATATTCACTCAATTATTTTCATAATTCACATGATTATCATAAAATAATTAA